TATATATATATATATATATATTCTTAATATATATATATATAAGTTGTGACTTCGTCGAAACGTCGCCAAGACACTTCTAATTCTACGCGGGAGAAAACCCGAATAACTAAAGACCTATATATATATATATATGTTTTCTGAGGTTTTCGTGGGTGTTTGTATGTAGGTCTTTGGTAATTCGGGTTTTCTCCCGCGTAAAATTGGAAGTGTCTTGCCGACGTTTCGACGAAGTCACATTCGTCATCTTCAGGCTGGTGTCTTCAGCTTCGTGCTTCTACGAGTAAAGTGTGATCGCAGCTGTTTCTTCCTTTTAACTGCCAGTGGGGTTTGAACTGATTGGGTGGGAGCTTGGCTGTGTTCTGATTGGGTAGAGGTGTGTTCTGATTGGTTAAGGGGCTTGGCTGTGCTCTGATTGGATGGGGGGTTGGCTGTGCTCTGATTGGATGGGGGAGTGTTCTGTTTGGGTGGGGGCTTTGTTGTGCTCTGGTTAGTCTGAGTTGCAGGGGGATTTGAGATGGTGAGCTGCCTTGCTGTTGTTTGGCTTCGTGTTCGTGGTCGTGCCACATCTTTATGGTGGGTGTCAGTTTGCTTCATGTATGGATTGGAGGGGTTTAAAGTGGCTAATGATGCAGCTGTGGACTGGCTTCTAGTTTGTGGTCGTGCCTCATCATCTGTGTGGGTTTGGGTTTGCTTTTTGCGTGGAGTGTGGTGGTGACATCCTGTGTGGTTTTCGTGAGTGTGGGTCTGGTGTCATTCTTTGTGTTAGGAACTCGTTTGCCAATAAGGGTGGGTTTCCAAATGGCTGGTAGGCGGGAGGTATCATCTCGTTTATTCATGCTGTGTGGGCGTTTCTCTATCTCGATGGCTTCTCTGATTATTCTGTTGTTAAAGTGTTCAGTTTTGGCGATAGTTCTGGTCTTTTTAAAGTCAATTTTATGTCCTGTGGCTTTAAGGTGTTGGACCAGGGAAGAAGTTGGTTCCTCTTTTCTGATTGAGTTCTTGTGTTCTTCAATGCGTGCATTTATTCTTCTGTTGGTTTGTCCGATGTATGTGTATATATATACACATATATATACACCAATACCTGGGCTGGACGGCCCCCCCAATGCATTTGTTACCGATCGTATTCTTTGCATCCCCGTCAATACATACGGGGGGGGGGGGAAACCAACTGCATTTTAGCTGAAGCGTGTGAGGGGATGGGTGGGGCATGTGATGAAGGGAACCCCGCTACACCCTTTTTAAAGTGTGTCCAAAAAAGTAGCCAAGGTGTGGTCTTACCATAGATTTATATAAAGGGAATATCATACCAACAGTTCTATTTTTGGTTCTCCTCCTAATGACTCTGTTACAATTTAACATTTTTATAGCAGCTGCAAACAGGGTTGATATCTTCATTAAGCCATCTGCCCTGACTTCCAAGATACCTTTTCTTAATCAGTGACTGTGGGCTCTGTATGTATACGTGAATTTTTGGAATTAATTTGGAATTTTTGTGCCAACATACACCATATATTTATTTACAGTGAACTGCATTTATCATTCTGAAGCCCATTCATCCAGATTGGAAGGTTGCTCTTGGAGCTCATCACAATTAGTTTTTGATTTAAAAGTGCTGCAGCTGCCAAAAAAAAGCCAACAGAGTTCTAGACTGCATTAACAGAGGGATAGAATCAAGATCACGTGAAGTGTTAATACCACTTTATAATGCCTTGGTAAGACCACACTTGGAATACTGGATCCAGTTTTGGTCACCACAATGTAAAAAAGATGTTGAGACTCTAGAAAGAGTGCAGAGAAGAGCAACAAAGATACTCAGGGAACTGGAGGCTAAAACATATAAGGAACGGTTGCTGGAATTGGGTATGTCTAGTTTAATGAAAAAAAGGACTAGGGGTGACATGATATCAGTGTTCCAATATCTCAGGGGTTGCCACAAAGAAGAGGGAGTCAAGCTATTCTCCAAATTACGTGAAGGCAGGACAAGAAGCAATGGATGGAAACTAATCAAGGAGAGAAGCAACCTAGAACTAAGGAGAAATTTCCTGACAGAACAATTAATCAATGGAACAACTTGCCTCCAGAAGTTGTGAATGCTCCAACACTGGAGGTTTTTAAGAAGAGATTGGACAACCATTTGTCTGAAATGGTATAGGGTTTCCTGCCTGAGCAGGGGGTTGGACTAGATGACCTCCAAGGTCCCTTCCAACTCTGTTATTCTGTTAGTTTGGTGTGTAATATTTTGATGTATTTAGCAAACATGGTCCGATCAGCCCTAATTCCAGATAGGTTTTATACAAATTAAAAGCAGTCCTTACACCAATCCCCGAGATAGCTCATTTTGCATGACTTGCAGTATGAGAATTGTTCATTTATTCCTATTCTCAGTTTCTTGATTTTTTTTTAAAGTTCCCTATCCATAACAGCATTTGTTAACCCAAGGCAGCTGAGTTTGCTCAGGAACCTTTGGTGAAGGACTTTGTCAAATGGCTTTTTGAAAGTTCAAGTGTAGAATATCTGTTGGGTTACCCTTCTGCATGTCCTTTTTGACACCCTGAAAGAAGCTGGAAGGTTAGCGAGACAAGACTTCTTTTTGGTTCCTTTTCAGCAAGACTACTACTATGTATTGTTTTCTAAGGGGTCCTTGGTGCTCTCTGAGCTTGGTTGTTTTCTTGCAGACAGTTCATTACTCAAACTAGGTAACAACATCATCAGAGCATTGATGATGATACCTAGTTTGGGTAATGAAATGTCTGCAAGAAAACGAGCAAGCTCAGAGAGCACCAAGCACCCCTCCTTTCAACCCTGAGTTACAACTATTCTCCTTTATTGGTATTATTTTCTGTTTAATAATTCTTCCAATTTTTCCCTGGAACAAATTATCAGGCCTATAACTTCCTTTATTGCCCCTCAATCTCCTTAGAAAAATTATTTTCCAGTGCTTTAGAACAAGTGGCAGTGTTTAAAAGTTTTTTTTGTGTGAAAAGATGGCAATTTTATATTTAACTGCTTCAAGAGTTCTTGGGTAAGTACCATCTGGACATTGGGATTTATTTAGCTTTACTTAATCAGTTTGGCTTGCAGCCATTTTTCCTTACCTCTGTTTGTCTCAGTTTGTCTAGTCTTTGTCCTGAAAGCCTATTACACCTTGGGACTTCAGAAAATGTAGGTGACAGATGGACTGGAATATGAATGAATGTGTGTGTATATACACACATGCACACAAACACATTTTTTCTCATAGGTTCAGCTTGTTGGGTTGGATGAAGAAAGCTCTGAATTCATTTGCAGAAATACTTTTGACCACCCTTATCCTACTACCAAGCTCATGTGGATACCAGATACTAAAGGGGTTTATCCAGACCTTTTGGCAACCAGTGGTGACTACCTGCGTGTGTGGAGAGTAAGTAGACCATTTAGAATGTAATTCTATGCTTTGATTTGGAAAAAAACCCCCAGCAGACCAGCTATTATGAAATTCAGAGAAGCATTACACTCAGCCTACCCAAGGAATGGCTTTTCAAGCATGTAACTTGCCCTTTTTCATAGGTTTCTCAAAATATTCCCACAATGCATTGGAATAATGGTGAGACCACAGCAGTATCTTAAATATAGTACTGTATTCATCAGACTGATAATGATTCTGGAGACAGTTTTGTAAACAGTCATTTCAACTGTAAGTTATCAGTGAAAAGTGAAAAGAATGAACTCTTCACCACTTCACAAGAAATATGTTACAGAAAACCTGAGAAACTGTCTGCCCTGATGTAATGGTAGATATATTGGTTCTTAGTTGGAAATAGTTCAGTGCAGAAATGCTGGAACCCTGGGGGTTCAGCTCCTACTACAGTATTGAATGCCAGACCTCTCCTTAACATAACTATCGTCATCCGTAATTGTGGATGAGAGGGCAGACCTGACTTGCATTACCAAAATCTGGGTAGGAAAAGGGAGAGTTCATCTCTCAGAGATCTACCCTCCCCAGGTTTCTAGTTTGTCCCTGGATGGGGTGTGTGTCATCCCTGAAACTGCTAGCATCAAGAGATGCTACTCTAGATCATGGGTGTCAAACTCGATCGCATCATGTGATGTATTGCGATGTTTTTTGCCTTTGCGGAACTGGGGTGGGCATGGCCTGCATGTGATGCATCCGGGCCACGGGCCGCCAGTTTGACACCCCTGCTCTAGATGAACAGATATGAAAACTTTCACACTGGTTTGAAAGAGGGATCAAAGATGCCATCTATGTCAAAACTGAACAGCTCTCTCTCAACAGAGGGGGAGGGATACGATATCTATCTCCAGTCTACAACACAGTCCTTTCAACAGTTCCAAGAAGGCTCCACACCCATTTGCACTACTCAGATAAACCTCCAGGTGGCCTCAAAGACTCTCTAAAAGAATGCAAATGACCAGCTGTCTGCAAGGAGTATAAATCCTTCCATTTCCCACCATCCAGTCAGCTGAAGAAGCTTCTTGTATGAGAAGTGAAACATCTTCAAAGAAAAACAAAGTCCAGTTGCCTCATGAAAAAGCACCTTTGGGATTTCATGCTGGAACCACCCCCACCCTTAGTGGGGAAGGACCTATTAGATAGGTCTACTCCAGACACTGAATGGATCCAGTGGGTTTTTAGAGGGCCCTTGGGCAAGGTTCCCAATGATCTGGTAAGCAGTTTAGCCAAGACCCTGGTTGCCTAGTGGAATAAAGGGATAATTAGGGTGCTTGACCAGATTGTACTGGGGTTGTCTCTCCCCAATCCACTGCAGCTCCTTGGTTTATTAGTAGCTCAGGGATATGGAGCAGCAGTGGAGATGCCTAGAGTGTCACTGGAAGAAAACCCATTTTGAATCTGGTTGGACATTGGTAAGAGCTCCTGTACAAGCCTACATAGTAGCAATTCAAGCAGTAAAAAGGAACTATATTACCACTCTTATTACATCTGCTGCATGCCCACAGCTGCTCTTTTTAAATTCACTGGTTCCCGTTTAAGGAAAGATGGTCACCTATAACAGAGGTCCCCAACCTTTTGGGCACCAGGGACTGGTGCCGTGGAGAAAGGTTTCTCTGCGGACCAGAGGGGGTGTGGTTTTGTGTACTACATGCATCCTGTGGATGGGGCTTTGCTTGTTTGTGTGGCCTGGTTGCTGGCATGCTGTGGACCAGTGCCAGTCCGTGGACCAGTGCCGGTCCATGGACCGGGTGTTGGGGACCCCTGACCTATAATATCTAAGCTAAGGGGACAAAGTGGCAGATAAAACCACTCAGATTTTATTAGAATTGGAATCTAGTTGGATGGTGCTAATAGAGGTGATTGCAACTTTGTCCTGTGAATTTCTCTGGGATCAGTTTAAACCTGAGTCCTGTAAGGAAATGAATAGGGCTGGCTCTCTAGTGTCAAGCTCTGTCACTTCTCAGTTGGATCCCTGCCCCTCATGCTTGATTGATGCCTCTCGTAAAGTGGCAGGAGACTAGAATTCAAGCATTAAGCAGTGCTTTGGGTGAAGGGATATCTATTACTTCTGTAAGGATATGGAGCCCCTCCTGCTCAAGAAGCCTTTGCTCAACCCAATTACTGTGTTTCCCCGAAAATAAGATCTACCCTGAAAATAAGACCTAGCTTGATTTTTGGGGGTGGGCCTAATATAAGCCCTATCCCCAAAATAAGTTCTAGTTTTGGGGCGAGGTACACGCCTAAAAATCAAGCTAGGGCGGGGGTGGGGAGGTGGAGCTACCCCACATGTCCCGCACCTGCTTCAGGAAAGGCTTCTGATGGCGAAATGAAGGCCAGGGGCGCCATGTGCGTCAATCCAGAGCTCCATTCAGCTGCAGAGGCATTTCCTGAAGGCCCCTGACAGTGAAATGGAGGCTGGGGACGACCAGCCGCAGAAGAACTGGGCCAGCTGGGTGCGGCTGTCGATGCCACAGCCATGAGGTGAGACCGTGGAAAAGACATTCCCCGAAAATAAGACCTGGTGCCTCTTTTGGAGGCAAAAAATAAAATAAAATAAGACCAGGTCTTATTTTGGGGGAAACACGGTATTGTGGATAATTTAGACTCAGGTCTTTCTACAGGTAGACCTTGACTTACATTAGTGACCGTTCAAATAGCAATAGCACTTAGATTTATACATCGCTTCATAGTGCTATACAGCCCTCTCTAAGCGGTTTACAGAGTCAGCATATTGCCCCCAACAATCTGGGTCCTCATTTTACCAACCTCGGAAGGATGGAAGGCTGAGTCAACCTTGAGCCATTTAGAATCAAACCCCTGGAGTGAGCAGTGAGTTAGCCTGCAGTACTGCATTCTAACCACTGCGCCACCACGGCTCTTATCTCAAAGTTACAATGGCACTGAAAAAAGTTATTTATGACTATTTTTCACACGTACAACCATTGTAGCATTCCCACAGTCACATGATTAAAATTTGGGTGCTTGGCAACTGGCATATATTTATAACAGTTTCACTGTCCTGGGGTCATGTGATCACCATTTGTAACCTTCCCAGCTAGCTTCCAACAAGCAAAGTCAACGGGGGAAGCCAGATTCGCTTAATGACTGCATGATTCACTTACTATTATTATTATTATTATTATTATTATTATTATTATTATTATTATTATTATTATTATTATTATTATTATTATTATTATTATTATTATTATGTCGGCACAGGGTCTGGTATCATGGGTATGCTAATGATGCTCAGCTACACATTATTATGTGCTCCTGACTACTTTCCTTCATGACCAGAGGCAAGCTCGCCTGACCAATAACCAGCCAAGACATAGTGAAGGCCTTTTTGTTTCGTTTATTGCAATAAGCGCAGAGAGAAGCTATCAAAGCTTGGTTCTCTCCAAAGTTCCAACCCAAAATATCCCCTTCTTTATACAACCCTGTCCCGGCCGCCACATCCCTCCTCGTTCCCCATTGGCTGAGGTACTATGAGATTACACTCTTTCCAACTGCTTCCCACATATTTCCTGCTACCTTCCTTAAACATACTAAATCATATTCACATGTACATTAATAATATAAAATATTAGACATATTCAATTAGTTATTTTGAGCGCTGATATTTTATGGCTCCTTAAAACAATAGGTTTTTTCCTGTTTTTTCAGTTCAGCTAATTTTCCCTGGCTAGCCATTTCCTCTTGCAGCTGTTTTTACAGCTTGTGTTCTTCCTTTCCCATTCTGAAAATCCATATAATAATTTTACCTATGTGTTTATTTTACGTCCTCCCTTTATACTACCCTTTCCTGGTTCCCATCCATTGTAGTTTCTTTGAGCAAGCTTATTTTTCTACAGCATTGTTAGAGAACCCACACATCCACTTTACAGTCTGTTTCTGTTGCTCCCCTCTGCGAGGAGGTTTCGAAGTATTTCTAGCAGGACTACCCGATTCTGTAATAGCTTTGTTCCCTATGCCATCCGTCTGGTAAACTCGCAAGATTCATTTTTCTCGCCATGCACGTGTATACATAACCCGAACTAGACTTGTTTCTCTGTGTCATATAATATATGGGTATATGCATAATTCTGTATTTATTTATTTTTGTCATATTTATGTAGTGTATATTGCAGGTGGTGACCCTTTGAGAGCTGAATGCAACAGAATTTCATTTTAATGTATGCCGATTAGTGTACTGTCATGGTTCCGACAGACAGAGACAAAGCAGAACTCCCAGGCTTGCAAATTCCTTGAAGAACATGTTTATTAGTTACAAAGTATCGGCACGGTCAAAAGTGAAACCAAGTCTGAATACACAAGTAACAATTGCCAAATACAAAGTTAAGTGTCCCACCCACAAAACTATGCAAACAACTACGTTCCCCAATATGATTATTTGGCGGGCTTTTTATGCAATGCCCAGTCCCTAGTCTCGGGAGCAGCAGATGACCTTGGTTCCCACGGGACAGAAGATTATTTTGACTAACGAAGCACCTGGGCAACCCCCCTCCCTCCATTCTATGTGGCAACCTAGAATGAGAAGATAAAAAAAATGGCTGCAGCCATGCTCATTGTAGAGTTGACAGTCGGACCCTCTCAAAAAGAAAGAGTCTCCTGTATGGGAAACAAAAAGCATGTTAAGTATTTCCTAGAGGCTTGTGAGGATATTTATCATAAAACTTTTTTATTAACCTGTCTGCTTTCACACTGGTGCATTTCACCCATGTAGCTTCTGACGGGGTAGCCTTTCCACTGAACAAGGTACTGTAACTTTCCCTTGTACAACCTAGAATCAAGAATTCATTTTATTTCATAATGTGTCTCCCCCTCTACCACCACTGGATCTGGTGGCTTCTTTGGAATAGGTCTTAAAGAGGATTCAGAGACAGGTTTCAACAGACTACAATGAAACACAGGGTGGACTTTTCCCGACAGTCGTGGAAGTTTCA